AGGATCTTTAAATAAACCAGTCCATGCCTGATAGTGCACTAACTTTTGGAGCTGCTGGGTGTCAATCTCATTCCTCACAGTGGCCAGGTCTGTGAAGTTCTCCCTGCATAACCTCTGAGCACTGGACCAAGACATGCGTTCTTTCACAACAATGTATTCGGGATCCAGCTGTGTTCCTGCAGTTTGAGGAAGAAGATGAGTTCATGTAGTGAATTTAAAAAATGTATTTTTTTAAAGCTGAAGGACTTCATGCAACAGAAACAGTTCAATATCACTTTAACGACATATGATTCAAAATTGTATCATCTATCGATCCATCCGTTATTCATAGGCCACTTTATCCTAACTAGGGTCACGGGGGGGCTGGAGTCTATCCCAGCTGACTCAGGGTGAAGGCAGGGTTCACCCTGGACAGGTCACCAGTCTATCACAGGGCCACACTGAGACAGATGACCAAGAACGCTCATATTCACACCAACGCACAATTAATCACCAATTAACCTCAGCCAAGTCTTTGGACTGTAGGAGGAAGCCAGAGAACCTAGTGAGAACCAACATAGGCACAGAAAGAAAAGCAAATTCTACACAACGATCCTAAGCCAGGAGTCCAACCCAGGATGCTGTGGCTGTGTGGCAACAGTACTATCCACCATTTCATTGTGTCGCCCAGCTGTGATCACAGCAAAAAGACTTGAAATAACCTGTGATCACTAAACAAAACCCACCTGTTTAGTTTTTTCAGCTAGCCTCATTGTATGAGAGCCGCAGTGTTCATTTTCCTAAAATGACACAATGGACAGGGCTGTTCACGCACAATCAGAATCAAAATCAGAATCAGATCAACTTTATTGGCCAAGTTTGTCCAGGCAAAGAAGGAATTTGACTCGGGTGAATCTTAGCTCTCTGTATAAGAAATAAAAACAATAAACTAGAACAATGAAATAAGAGCAATGAACAGCAGCATTTACTGTTTTTATAATACATGTGCAAAGAAGCAGGGTTACTGAGTTAGGTGTGTGTTATACAAAATTTAGTGTTACATGTGATGATTCAATGGTCTTTGTATGAGCCTACGTGTCTACAACAAGCTGTTGTTTAAAGCTGTTTGAATTGAATTAAACTGAGCACCACAGTGTTACACAATCATCACCACTGTCAAATATTAACAAGGAATTCACTGACCTGAGAGACACAAGACGGTCAGCAAGGTGCTCTCCATCACGATGCTGCTCTGTGGACATTAAGAGGACACTCTGTCTTCTGTGAAAAGTTTCCTCCTGATTTGTTTTTTTTTTCTGAGGAAGGTCATTGGTGCACTGATCTCTTCCTGTAAAATGTACTTCACTGTGTACCTGTATGTAAATGTTTTTTCATGGTACACCATGCACATACTCTCCTTAAAGGCCAATTGTAATCATGAAACACCCGTTTAGAGATGGAAAGTGCAACACTTACAGTGTCCTTGGATTTGGGTGCGGATGCCGTGACGTCTGGTGTTGGGAGAGACGAGGCCTTCAGCTTCAGAGAGTGAGATCAGGGTGTGGCAGTTGAAGCTGATAACAAAAGACCAAAGGGGGAGATTCTGTGATAGAAAATCCTCTGTTTTTTGGGTGAAATGCCTTTTAANGGCTTCCTCCCACACATTCCAAAAACATGTTGAGGTTAATTGGTGATTCTAAATTGTCCGTAGGTGTGAATGTGAGTGTGCTTGGTCTCTAAGTGTAGCCCTGTGATAGACTGGTGACCTGTCCAGGGTGTGTCCCCTGGCTTCGCCCTGAGTCAGCTGGGATAGACTCCAGCCCCCCCACGGCCCTAGTGAGGATTAAGCGATGTATAGATAATGGATGGATGGATAGTTGAAGCATGAGAATGTTATATAGAGTGCGTACAGCAGACTCATAGATTTAACATATTCTGCACATCTTGTGTAACTTTAACAAATTTCAGATAATCATACAAATCTAAACTTATATTGATAACTATGAGTGGACAGGAGAGCAGCCGCTCAAAACGTGGCAACTAGTTCATTTTACTTTTGTGACTGTTTGTTTATATTCTTTCTTGCTTTCTTTCTTTTGCTTTTTTTTTTTTTACTTTAATGCAGACGTTAAATGTTTCTTTGTGAAGTAATATTTTTCAGTGAGTTGTGCACATTTATATAGCCTGCATGAACAACAATGTGGAAAAACACGGGGCAAATTATTTAGGATGTGCTTTTAGCTGTCTATCTTCCGAATATTTTAGGTTATATATATTTATATATTTGAGGTTCGATTATATTTTTAGGTTGTATTTATACATTATGTAGGTTTTTTATGTCTTTTCTAACAGCAGTATGTGGTGCAGAAAAACACCCAAGCACTAAACTTGTATTCATTACTTATCAGAATAAAATAACCAAGAAAACAGGTAAAGACATGTACTGGTTGATCGAATCAGGATGAAAAGCACGCTTGTCGAAGACACATCATCAGAAGATAAAAGTACAGGTCGATGAAATCTTGCAAGTAAAATTATATCATTGCAAAAGCTAGAAGCGTAACACTGATTCACAGTGACGGAAGAAACCAACATGAAATGTCACACTTTCTTCTCAAAAGCAGTTTACAGATTTCAACACAAGGGGGTGATGTTGCCACACTTTCATCAACACACATGTATTTGAAGAGCTCAGCGAATATGCAGGTGTAGTTCCTTGTGGAACCTCTTTGTGGCAGACTTTCCCATCAGGCTGCTCTCTCCACTTCAGGGTGACTCCACTCACTCCTTNTGCGAAGTCGCTATGCCTACTGTCACAGAGGAGAGGGAGTTTTTGGGTCCTGTCCTGATTGACGTGCCAAAACAACAACAGGGCATTATGGGATTTGTAGTATTAGCGGTGAATGCGCCGTACAGTACAATACCGGGGGCAGCTCTAGTAGTCATTTGGTATTGTCTCGCGGGCCAAATATAATTACAAAGCGGGCCAAATTTGGCCCCCGGGCCAGAGTTTGACACCCCTGGTCTAGTGCTTTACAGGAGAGGAGTTCGAACCTGAAACTTCATACATGACCTCGGTATGGTCCCTTCTCTGAGTGATTAGATTTTGGGGTCAATGCTATGGGGGCAATACTATGGGGGCTTTATTGTAGTAAAACTATATGTCCATCTATATGGAGAGTTGTCTGTCTGTATCTAAATCCGTTTGTCCGAAGTGAGATTTGTCAATGTGTAAAAGAAGTTGTCAGTGCGAACCAAAATCTGCAAAAGTCGTCTCACAATTTGTCTGTAATCAGGTTTTCAAATGTGTAAAAAATCTGCTCATCTGTATTGAAATTCGGACACGTAGTAAGAATTGTCAATGCATACAAAGGTATTCATAGTTGATAAGTACACGTATTCAAATACAAGTGCTGAAAATACAGACTAATCACCAGTTACGAGTCGAGTGGCTTCACCACTGGCTGTCTTTTTACACATGACTTTTTCTACACTTCTACCGTGAGAGAATCTGAAACTGAAGAGTGTCTGAAAATCAGGGTTTCTGTGTCCTGAGCTCAGACTCACAGGATCACTCATTGTGGATGCTGCCGGTCTGCTGTCCTGTACCTCAGTAGTAATCAGGCAGCGCTGTTCATCACAGTCTCTGAGTGTACGCGACACAATGAAAGAATCCTGACAGGTATCTGTGAACAAGCTTTAATGCTAATTCATCAAAGGTTGTGCTCAGCGACCCATAAACTCAGCAGATGTAACTTGTTCACTTATACCTGTAAAATTATATTTTTAGAAGGCTCAACAATTGCCTCACTAATTATACAAACTGCAAAAAACACCAACACTGTGTGTGGTCGAGATTCCATCGTTTTCTGCACCCTGCCTCACAATGTTGTGTACGTTGACTCTGATGAACAGCGCTGCCTGATTACTACTGAGGTACAGGACAGCAGAGCGGCAGCATCCACAATGAGTGATCCTGTGAGCCTGAGCTCAGGACACAGAAACCCTGATTTTCAGACAATCTTCAGTTTCAGATTCTCTCACGGCAGAAGTGTAGAAAAAGTCATGTGTAAAAAGACAGCCAGTGGGGAAGCCACTCGACTCGTAACTGGTGATTTGTTTGTATTTTCAGCACTTGTATTCAAATACATGGACTTTTCAACTATGAATACCTTTGTACGCCTTGACAACTCTCATTACGTGTCCAAATTTCAATACAGATGAGCAGACTTTTTTACACATTTGAAAACCTGATTACAGACAAATTGTAAGACGACTTTTGCAGATTTCGGTTCGCATTGACAACTTCTTTTACACATTGACAAATCTCACGTCGGACAAACGGATTGAGATACAGACAGACAACTCTCCATACGGATGGACAAATAGTTTTGCTACAATAATGCCCCCATACAATACATGCATTGGTGACCACTACAGAGGTCAAAAGTCACATTTTCCAAAAAACACCTCTGTATGACTAAAGATGCACAAAAAGACCTAAGTTTAGTGTACTAACTTAGGAAGACATTCAAGGCCTATAAACTGGTGATGTAATGTATGCCCTTAAAACAGACGGTCAAGGTCACACTGAAGGTCTTAAATCATCACAAATTTTTACTTGGAAAAAGGTGTAAGATAAACACATAGTTTGTCATTGCAATCAGATAGGAACCCGCACTGGTGATGTAGCATTTCAACAAACTCAAGGTCATAAATCTTAGGTGCTTAGCCGTAAATTACAGCGAAACGCTTCCCCTCCATGCAAAATATCTGTATTGTATGATCGACTAAGCTCTTGTTACTTTATGTATCTTTTTAAGGCAAAATCAAGTCAAGCTCATCCTCAAACAGGCGCACAGACAAACACAGAATCAGGTAAACATGCATACATCAGGCACCTATGGCCCTCTACTGAAAGCTCTCTAGTTTTTTATTTTCTTTCCATCATGCAGTTCTTGGTTTACCTCCTCCTCTTCTGACGTATCCATCGTGGATTCACCCTCAGCCATCCCACTATGTTCCAGGTTATTCAAACTGGTCCTGACTGAATGTAACGAGAAGCAGGATTATTACAGACAACCAGCAACACGAACAGTGGGTAAAAAAAAATAAGGAAATGGACTAAAATTCCATAAAACTGCAAGTTATTTGAACTGAACACGTTACATGTGGAAAGGGGGATGAATGTGTGTTTTTCTAGTGGTGGAGAAGTAATCAGTGGTCAGTTACTTTTAGTAGCAATGCAACAAATCAACAAGTCTCAGCTCTACACTCATAAATCCACTGTAATTCAGTCGTAAACCCAGAGTTATAAACTGTAAGTCAAGACTGAATGAACGTAACAACATTTCTGTAAATGCTCCAAATAAGCTTTAAAAAAAAAAGACTTTGGAAAGGCTTCAGTTATTGGTTTTATCCTCGGAAGCAATATTGACTTGAATGCTACCTGTAACATTTAACCTGATTTGACTACGTTTGCAAAGTAGTGAGGCAACAGTGGAAAAACACCGCAGTACATCTCTTATCTCTTATCTCACAAGTCTCAGTCCTGAACTTATGAAACCACTGCTGAGGTACTGATATGATCAGAAATGCAAAAGTGTTGTCAGAATGTGGCATTTTACTGTTGCATAAGTGTTTTTTATTGTTTTCAAATGAGTCAATGTACAGCTTCCAAAGTTAGTTAAAAAAGAAAAGAAGATTTCCCTCTTAAATGTGGCTGAGTACAAGAATAAAGTCGAATACAACAGAGCTGCTCAAGAATCATACAGGTTCCTTAAGTCCTGCTTAACTCAGATAAACGAATCATTTCAGTGCTGGATTTTTGTGTCTTTTCACTTCACATCATCACCAACTGTCAGCTATGAAATACTGACCTACCTTTGTAAGAAGACTTTTTCCATGTCAGGAAAACCCACTTCCTTTCATCCACATCTGTTACAGAACACGTGCAAACTTCAGAAGTCAGTTCGGACCTGATCACGATGATACCTGATGATTAACCCTCCTGCAAATGCCAAGGTAATGATTCCACCTTCGACTTTTATCCTGCTGGGTGTGGTCACTTTCAGTTTCCTTTCACAGAAACAGGGATTCATATTTACACATCTGCAGGAAACAAAACTTAACTGTCTGTTTACGCGTTCAAGCTACATTTCTGTGTTGCGCAACCAAAGGTTTGATGTTGATTAAGAAACAAAGGTTTTAGGATTCAGTGATTTTTCCAAGTCGCTCTTTATTTCTGCTGTTGGAGGAGGCTTGAGCTCTCTCCTCAGGTTTTTTTTTTTTTTTTAGCGGTCTCAAAGGCAACACATGCACAAATCTTTCCATGTGTAGTGCCGCTGATTTCAGATTTTCAGCCTTCGTCCAAATTGCTTTGAGGCATAACTTGTTGTAATATATGACTGAGTAAATGTTTTGAAGAGTTTCAAATAAGTGAAAACAGTCAGAGTACGGAAAAGCTGCAGTTATTTAGTGTGTTGATATAAACATTGTGGATTCTCCAACATGATTTTCAGCTCTTAACTCGTCCTGTAGCTTTGAGAAAACTCATATATATTATACATCGCTTGATTAGGAGTAGTGTGATATGTCTTTTTATGAGCAATTCATTGTACAGTTTTTACAAAATCCATAAAAAAGTTGCATTGAAAGCCTCTATTGAAATGAATGGGAAGCTGGCCGGACAAAACCCAGCCGTCTTTGGGATCCTGAAGCTCTGCAGAAACTTCATTCAAGAGTTAAGCAGGTCTCGAGGCTTTAAATGTTACACGTCTTAATCCCTGTTTTGATATCTTTTGTCGTTTTTACACAGTTACAGTTTAACTTTTCTGATTTTTGTTTTTGAGAATCCAGAATTTTCTTGGTGGAAAAAGTGCAGTCAACCCTTATCAAACAGGAAAGTTTTTAACCTGATCTTAAAGGTAGAGAGGGTGTCCTCCTCCCGAACCCAAACTGGGAGCTGATTCCATAAGACAGGAGCCTGATAGCTGAAGGCTCTGCCTCCCATTCTGCTTCTAGAAACTCTGGGAACCACCAGTAGACCTGCAGTGTTAGAGCGAAGGGCTCTGTTAGGATGATATGGAACAATCAGGTCTTTAAGATACGATGGAGCCTGATCATTAAGACTTTTCTATGTTGGAAGCAGGATTTTAAATTGATATGGTCCGATACTGTTTTTCATGGGTTAAAATATGATAGCACGTGATCGTTAAGGGCTTTGTTTGTTTGTTTTCCTTACAAATTTGTTCTTGTAGGCTTGAGGCAGCCATCAAAGTCTATTTGTCTAACAGTTCATTTAAAGTTGGGCCTTGATCGCTCAAGTCAAACATGCCGTCTGGCTGATGAGGGGACTGTGGCGCCACACTCCTGACATTGGTATGGTCTCTGTCCTGTGCAAACTTTCTTTAGTCTTTGTGATGTACTACAAACTTTCTCACACTGCTCGTGACTTGTGGGTGTTCAGCAGCTGGTGAATTTAAATTTTTTGCTCACACTGTCTTTAGCCACGCTATTACGTATAATTTTTTTCCAACATGACATGCGTTTTTTTTTTGTTTTTTTTTGAGCAACCTTTTTAATTTTTACAATCTCTGCACATGGTGAACACAATAGAAAGTAGATGCAACTGAAACACTGGAGTGAAGGACTGTGATGTGGATTTAGTTTATTTTATACTAATATAATGAAGTAAATGGAGTGTAACCTGCCCTCAGTTTGCATTTGAACACTGATGAATTGTCAGAATTATTATTTTTTTAATTCAACATAGTGAAACATAGGGCTGCAAGGTGACTGTTGCCTCGCAGCAAGAAGGTCGCCGGTTCGCGTCCC